AATGATTGAGACATCTGAGCAGAATACACAGAAAAGGATGAATGTGTTGTCAAATGTTTTACATCTGAGTAGAAACCACATGAGATGATGCATGTGTTGTCAAATGTTTTACGAACCAGTTATTCTGATGCTGAACCAATGTTGTGATCATATGGTTTCCATTGTTGATCCAAGATGAAGTCTGTCTTCTTCAACCCCAAGATTAGAAGTTGAGATATGATGAAGATTTCTTTCCACAGAAGGAGAGCTGAAATTTTAACAACAAGAAACTATTGGAGCCAACTAAGATCAAACAATAGGTTGTTGTTAAACATCTTTACATGATATGGTTTGAGTTGCTTTGTTTGAGATCCAATTAGATGTGGAGACATGAAAGGAATTGGAATAAATCCTCCTTGTGATATGTTTCAAGAGTCAAATCAGAACAGACTCTACTCTCTTAATTAATCCTTACTGAGTCAGGCATATATACATCTACACTCTTCAAAGATGGTAGATTCTCTTTTTAAAGATGACAGATTCTCTTTTCAAAGATTAAAACTTTATGGGATTTCTACACAAGTCCAAACAAATAAAGTTGGTTTTATCCAAGACAAAATGGGGCACTAAGGTCATAATTCTGACTACGACAAGAGTTCCACAAATAAAACAATTCTTCTGAGACTTTCATGAAGCAAAGAATACATAAAGATACAAGTTGATCAGATAGTTCTTCAGAAATGCAAGCTTGATAGCATAAGTTGCTACACTGATATCCAGAGGTGACCCTGGCAATAAATGATGAAGTGGAGGAAAACCGAGTTCACCATTTTGAAGTCAAATGAAGATTGCATCAACATTCATGCATCATATTTAGACATTTGCAAAATAGGAGCATTTTCATTCATTTTATCCATGTTGAATATTTGACAGGAATTTCAAAATTTTAGCAAAGATTCAAATCCATCATATGATGGATCAGCTTTTCCAGAAAAAGTTCATAATGAGAAGAACTCATCTGAAGAAGGAAGAAGAAATTCATAATGAGAAGAATTTGTTCAACCTTTTGCTCAAATCCATCATCTGATGGATCAGCTTTTCCAGAAAAAGTTCATAATGAGAAGAACTCATCTGAAGAAGGAAGAAGAAATTCATAATGAGAAGAATTTGTTCAACCTTTTGCTCAAATCCATCATTCGATGGATCAGCATTTCCAGAGAAAGTTCATAATGAGAAGAACTCATCTGAAGAAGGAAGAAGAAGTTCATAATGAGAAGAACTTGTTCAACTTTTTGCTTAAATTCATCATTTGATGGATCATCATTACCAGTTAGAGTTCATAATGAGAAGAACTCATTTGAAGAAGAAGAACTTGTTCAACTTTTTGCTTAAATTCATCACCCGGTGGATCAGCAGTGCCAGTTAGAGTTCATAATGAGAAGAACTCATCTGAAGAGGAAGAAGAAATTCATAATGAGAAGAATTTGTTCAACCTTTTCCCTGAATTCATCACTTGATGAATTATTTTTTCCAGAGAAAGTTCATAATGAGAAGAACTTATCTGAAGAGGAAGAAGAAGTTCATAATGAGAAGAACTTGTTTAACCTTTTGCTCGGATTCATCACTTGATGGATTAACATTTCCAGAGAAAGTTCATAATGAGAAGAACTTATCTGAAGAGGAAGAAGAAATTCATAATGAGAAGAATTTGTTTAACCTTTTGCTCGAATTCATCACTTGATGGATTAACATTTCCAGAGAAAGTTCATAATGAGAAGAACTTATCTGAAGAGGAAGAAGAAATTCATAATGAGAAGAATTTGTTTAACCTTTTGCCTGAATTCATCACTTGATGGATTAACTTTTCCAGAGAAAGTTCATAATGAGAAGAACTCATATGAAGAAGGAAGAAGAAGTTCATAATGAGAAGAGCTTGTTCAACCTTTGTTTGATGCTATCACAGAAGGAAATAGATCAGTATCAGCATTTCCAGAAGAAGTTCATAATGAGAAGAGCTTGTTCAACCTTTTGCTCAAATGACACCTCCTTCAAGTATCAGTATTTCCAGAAGAAGTTCATAATGAGAAAAACTCATCTGACGAAGAAGAAGTTCATAATTAGAAGAACTTGTCAAACTTTTCGCTAGATTACATCACAGAAGAATATGAATTGTCATCCCCAGTGGAAGAGTTCATAATGAGAAGAACTCATCTGAAGAAGAAGAAGAAGTGCATAATAGGAAGAACTTATTCAACCTTTTGTTCGACTCGTCATAGAGAGAAATATATCAACATCAACATTGTTTAACCTTTTGTCAAATCCATCACAGAAGGAGGTGGATCGTCATTCCCAGCAGAAGAGCTCATAATACGAAGAACTTATAGCTCAAAAGTTTGGACAATTCAAGCTAAAAATGGTGCTTTTTGTCTTTGCTCCATTCCTGTTCCACAACAACGAGCAAAGAGGGGCAGCTGTAATCACCATTTTTAACTTCCCTATCCAGCAACCAACGACAGCAGCCCCTCCACGTGCATTTCCAGCACCTTCCAGCAACCAACGATAGCATCCCCTCCACCACAACAGCTCTCCAACAGCTTCCACTAAACCAGCTGTCCCTCCACGTTTCAGCAAGTAACCCAGCTGTCCCTCCTACAGCTTATCACCAAACAAACAACAATCATTACTTTTTAAGCATGTAAATGGGTTAATATATAACCCATAAAAATTACAGTGTAGAAAAAAAAGGAGGACACACAGAGATTGTAAAAAAAAAAACCAGGAGATCAAGCATCAATACAAAGAAAAAAATCAGAAAACAACAAAGGTTTTTATTTTTCAGATTTGTATTTTACTTTTATTTGTATTTTATTTTTTTCGAAATAAAAAACAGTAGGTTAATAAATTAAAAAAAATAGTAAAGAAGAGTGAGTTGTACCGGTGCCAAGGGTTCATCGTCGGAGTCTAGGTTGCCGGAGAAACGCCGATTGAAGCATTGGGAAATAAAGCTTGAGTTGTTAGGCATGGATTTTGTTAGTTTAAATCCCAAATCGGGATTTAAAATTTTTTAGGGATAAATTTTAGGTTCGGGTTTTGTGTAAGGGATGATTGGAAGAGTATTTGGCCACCGATTTACGGTGGCCGGCGACGAGGTGTGGGGGTTTTATGGCCATCGGCCGGTTATGAAAGAGGAAGAATGAGAAGATTGAGCTTCTCTCTATGAGAGAAAAGATGAAGAAGAGTGGCTAGGTTAGCCAAATAGAGAAAAATATATATATATATATAGCTTACGTTTTGGGTTATTTAATTTTAAGTCACTCTAGTTTATACTGCGTTTTACATTTCAGTCACTGTTTTTAAGGTTAAATTATGTTTAAATTCCTATGTTTTCTGCGTCCTGCGTTTTGGTCACTAAGGAATTTAGTTTAATTTGCGGGATAAATCACGCTAAAATCCCTGTACTTTAAGCATTTTTTTATTTAAATCACAAATTAGTGGGTTAATCACCCATAAACCATTCTAATTTACGCATTTTTTTTATTTTGGTCACCAATGTTATTTCTTTATTTTATTTCGATTTTTTTTGCATGCTAATTTATATTTTATTTCATTTTAGTCATTAATTAATTATGTTATTATTTTATTTATGAATATGATATTATAGTTTTAATTTTTTTATTTCAGTCACTATTTAATTGCAATTTAATTTATATTATTATTATTATTTCAATTTCAATAAGTTTAAATTATTACTTTAATTATTATGTTATTATTAGTTAGTCATATAAATATATATAATAAGTAGTATTTATTTATTTATTTTATTTTATTTTCTATTAAAATCATATTTATAAATTTAATTTTATAAATTACTTTTAAGAAAAATAATCATATTTTAATATATATTTATCAATATTAAGAAAGGACAGTCTTAAAGCAACTGGATGTCAATTTTCTGATATTTTTAAATAAAAAATAAATATTTTAATATATAAATCTGTTTTTATATTTTTTCTATTAAAATTTATTCAAAATTAAGAAAGGAGCTGTCTTAAGGCACCTAGAAGTCCTTTTCTGATATTTCTAAATAAATAAATATTTTATTTATAAATATATATAAATTATTTTTTCTCATAATTATAATTTTGAAATAATAGAATTTTAAATTAAATATATTTTGAAATTTTAAATTTCTAATAATAGAGACAATTTATAATTAAAAAGTACCAATTTTGGGCGTTGTAGGGGTGCTAATCCTTCCCTAAACGTAACCGACCACGAATCCCTTTTTATTATTAAAAAGAACGAATTTTTGGTTAAAACGCAGATCAATTTATCTTTTAACTGATATTTTCTTAAAAACTCTTTTAAAAGATAATTTTTTAGGTATTCGACCTACCTGATCCAAAAGGCCGATGGCGACTCCCAAATTATTTTCAAAACCATTTATTCACATCAATTTTCTCGCCAAATAAATATTTCGTGCCCGGACGAAAACCGGTTACGACAGTATCCAATCAATCAAGTTAATAAAGCATCCCACTTCAATGTTTAGTCCTTGAATCCATGTATATTGTTCTCAATTGTAGGAACTTGGCACTGATGTGAACCTTTACGCTTCGGTCTTTGGAGAATCTATGTTAAAATGATTCTGTAAGTTTTTGTCGCATGTCGGTCCCTTGTTTCCTGTATCTAACATTGTATGTGTGCATGTACAATATTTACTGGGTGAAATGGTTCTTTCTGTAGATGCCAATATCTTTGTACATGTGATGTAATTGCACTTGTCCTTTGATTGGTTTGGTTTTAAATTCAAGTCCTGTTTCTCTTTGCAGACAACATCCCTTGTAAGAAATCATGCATCCGGGCAAAACTTGTTTTTGGTGTTTTTCTTAATTTTATGATGCCAAAATGCTATGGGTTTTTTTCTTTGTTTTTATTAACAAAGAGGGGGTATTTATTTATTTATTTATTTACTTTTTAAAACTTTAAAGAATTAATTATAAATCAACCGATAATCCAAAAATGTTTCAAGTTCAACTAATAGTAGTTAATTGATTTAAAACCACCTAAACCAAAATAAATTCCAACGTTTACCAAAAAGAAAGCAGACTACTCCAACTACTCAAATTTGAAGTGGGAGGCTAGTCATCACCTTGAGGAAACGATGACCCAAAATCAAGCTCGGGGAAGACACCAGGAGGCCTTTCCCGAGGCTTGATCGATAACAACTGGCTTGAGTCGCCCACCACATCTGCCCATCCATAATGAGGTTCAGCCCTTCAGCAAAATATGATAACTTGTCAAGAAATACGTACATTTATACTTGATGCATGTGTATAATTTTATGTACTATCATTGAATTAGATGATACGTGTAATGACATGACATCATCTCGTTTACTGATAGTGTATTGAATTATACGCCATCAATCATCAAACAGTGACCCATATATATATATATATATATATATATATGTAGAACTATTTTTAACTAGGCCAAAAGAGAATGTTCTTACACATAATACGTCTCCTCTTCAACAATTGAATCCCCGCTTTCACCAGTTGTGCTCTTCCCATACTTGTGAACTTTCCTGTTTACCAGACAAAGGGGATTTTAGCTTCTTCCGTGTTGAATTGCATCAGAGAGAGAGAGACATGAAATAGTTTAAGGGTTTCAATAATTGTTCCATACCCGTTTCCAAGATGCTCCTCACCCCACGTTCTTGACCAACCTACGAGACCAGAATGTCTTAGTTACTAAAGTTAATTGAATAAAGTTTATGAGCAACGAAGGCACGTGCGAAATATCAAAATGATTGAGTCAGGCATATAATTCCTTAGGCCATTTCTATACCAAGAGTTGCAAAAATATGTGAATGATTATAGCTATATTTGTCAATGACGTGAAAGGGAGCAATATTGAACCAATAGGCCTTTACTTCCCATTAAAGACAAAAGGAACACACTTGTTACATACCTATACATAAATTACCGGCCTCTCTCACCCATGGGTGAATACAAGTTACATTGCAAAACGAACTAGTCTCTCTAAAAATCTTGTCACAACTCACAATATGTAAACAAACCAATTCAAATGTGCTTTTTACTTTTACTGTTAAAAGTTAAGTTTCAGGTGTCAGGAGAGATACTCGAAAATATTTATTTTCATCACGCAAACAGAAACAGGTTTTGGTCTACAGCTATGGTCGTCATGCTATGTGCAAACTTTTAGGAAATACCTATATTGTTATTTGCTTAAGGAGTAGCTAACAAGCTTGCACCCAGGCATGAGCCAATAAATATAATCAATGTGGCTACTTATCCAACCCACAAGATATTATGTAAAACCTTCAACTTGAAACACAAAAACTTCTGTCAAATAATGCATCACAAAGCATATAGCATGAAATGACTATACATACGTTCGCCACTCGGAGATAAATGCCATGTCTCCCCTTGACGTGCACCAATACCCTCAAAGAACTTCTCCTCCCACTTGTCTCCCCATTTAGATCCCACTTCAGGCTCAGCCCATTTGTCTGACCTGATTATTATCAAAATGGAAAATTTATTATAACCACAGAAAAACGCTTGGGGTGGGAAGGCCAGGCCAAATAGGAAAATATAAGAGAAGAAAAGTTTATAATCACAATAGCAGTTTTTCTTATGAGAAGATAAAACAAAGGCTGATGAAATTTTCATCAATCCAAGGACAACTATTCCAGATAAAACATGGCATGATATGATTGTTTTTCTTGTACAACTAAATGAAGATAGTAATTTGTGCCAAAATAGATCATGAACTTAACATCTAAATTAATTCAAAATCTAGTAGTGTGCTAGCACAGAATGGTTCTGCATAAGAGGCTAACTGAAAATCACCATTTGAGAACAAATCCACATCCGTCATAACGCTCTCCCCACTTTTCCCACCATGACTGTCCATTCAGCCTACCATACTTATGTGCCCCTTTCTCTGTCTGCCCTTTAGCATCATACTTCTCCCACCTACCATATACAGGAAGTATTAATAATACGAATACATAATAAGAATGAATTCTAAGATCATGAATTTCATGCATTGATATGTGACTCACCATTTCTCATACCAACCAGCATTTTCACTACCTTTTTTAGCTTGCTTCTGAGCACTCTTCTCTATCCTTGCTAAATTGCTGCAGTTTTAAACAAACAATAATCATTGCACTGATGAAAAAATTGCAAGTGTGCTCAACTGGAAAGATCCTATTTGTTACTATATGACAATTGAAAAAACTAAAGTGTTCCCTGATCAGTTGAATGATGTGGAAATAAAGACCTCCATTCATCTTGATGAAGCAATTCTTGCCAAATTTCCCACCATGAATCTCCTTCAGCATTTCTTCCGGACTTCTCAACACCTATGAAACATAGCCTCTATTAAAAGTAACTCAGATCCATGCCCAGATGATTTAAAAGTCATTTCAGCAAGAATAAACCATTTGAAATTAATTGCCACAATTACGTCATAGAATAAAACAATGAAAATGCAAGTAAAAGTACCTAGCTCTTTGTATCCACTCCTGTCACTTTTCTCCCACCACTGTCAAGGATATCAGTTAATCCAATTAAATACTTATTGGGATTATAAATACATGTTAAGTAACAGAAACAGAAACATATTACAGTTTGCTAGTAGTACTGCGATTCCATACTCAAAATCTTTAAGAATCGTCCTCTTTCCTCTATTTAACTAACATTTAAAGTTTTGGATGCTCACATCTCTTGAGCTACTACAACTCAAATCTTTCTTGAGTTACATTGTCTCACAGATATGATGATTCATTATACAAACTCCTTGGGACCCCCACTCCCAAAATAAACAAAAATAAGCACAGAAGTCGGCTGATCCTATCTTTGTTGCAAAGCACCAGAGAATGGACATTCTAACTGAATTTAAGTTATTTCTTTTGCATTATAATAATAACAGACAGACACATACTTCAAATACTTCCACCAAAAAAATTGACCATTTAACACAGAAATAGACATTAGGCATTGATAAGAACATGGATATCAGACTATCAGAGTAGCAAATTTCACATTCAACATGGATAACTTTGAGAGTTCTGGAAATATTAGCAAATGATGGCCTGTTAGAAACATCCTTCCAAGTTTGGAAATAGAAAGAAGTTTCTCCCAAGAGTTCTCTTCAAACAAATTTGGTGGCAAACATTGCACCTAATTGCTTTAATTTACAATCATAAGTTCATGTTCGTTGATATTTGAAAGAACACTAGGATCTTCCGCTCGATTGCAACTATAAGATCAACAAAATTCATACATCAAAGTGTCATATAATAAGAAACATAATATACCGTTCCCATCCATTCAGAGGATCCATCATGGGATTTACCACCCATCCTTGTCCATCTACACCAGAATCCGTTCTCACCAAGGTCCTCTCCACTTTCTCGATACCAAGTACTTCCATCTTCATTTGTTCCAGACTCATAAACATTCTCATTTAACAAGCTAATGTCCCAGTCCTTCTCATTTGCAATACCAGTGTCTATAATGACGAAAGAAGAGAACAACCACTTCCCACATTAATCTAAATGACATCAGAAACCTTAAATATATAAGCACAGAGAGAAATTCAAAATAAGATTCAACAGCGTAATGAGCTTCCTGTGTTACCTCTTGTCGGTGGAGTATCACGAGACTGAGGACCTGAATTTCGTGGAGTACACTGAGGGTAGAACTTTTGCTGTTTGGAAGAAAACCGAGATCTGTAACAAGCATAATATGAGATCAACATTACATTACAAGCTTTGACGGTGAACACGACATTTTAAGTTTTTGCATAAAAATCAACATAATATTCAAAATCCTATTCACAAAAAAAATGACTAAATTAGCAAATCACTTATCCGTTGTTTAGCTAAAAAGAAAATACATTCTTAATAACGCTAAAAGCAGTGACGTACTGAGCCGAAGCAAACGGCGTTGCAGGAGATGACATAACTCGGACCCTGTGAAGGCAATTCTCGCCTTTCTTCTCATTTTCATTGCCTGAACCGTCGGCTCTCCGGATTGGGAGCACGGAGTCGGAGCAGCAGCAACTGATTCGACTCAACGTAGTGAACTGATCACGACGAAAACACATTCTCCGTTTTTTGGTCGGCGCGAATCCATCGGAGACATATAGCTTGAAGAGGCCGAACTCAAACTGAGTTGCGAGTCCTCTGTGATTCATTGCCATAGATTAAGAAATTGCCATGGACGAGTCCAGAAAAAGAAAGCCAAAATATATAAACTTAAATTGAAAAAAAAAACGATGAGTAGAGTTTTGTTATACAAGGAAACTGGATTCGGAAGGAGTGGGAGTTGAAAACCTAGAGAAATGGGCGGCCAACGGCAATGTAATAGAGAAAATATCGGTAGAATCTTTGCGTTTGGGATTCATTTGACGGCCACAGAACTTGTTCTAAACAACGCTGGAACTTAAAAGGAACAAAGAGAAGTGTGTGGTGGAGTGGGAAGAGATGAGAATATCATGAGATCGGTGGCTCTGTGGGCTTCAGCCACTGACGACCCCTCACGGTTGGGGTTTGTGGGCAGCAGTTCCCGTGGTCCCCGCGATTTAATCATACACGTCAGCAGTTTCCGTGGTCCCTTATGTCTCTCTCGATTCGCCACTTGTTTTCACATCAGCCGTCACTTTCTTTCTTTCTTTTCCATTTTCTTCTCTCTCTCTCTCGCCATTTTTTAAGGACAATCATTATAGGAAATACTAGTGACCTTAACATTAGTCTGATTTATATTTAGAATTCGTGAATGGATTATGTATCTTCGAGGCCATCAGCTTTATCAAAATTGGGATAAAAAATTTGTATTTATAAATATTAATAAAAAATTAAATTAAACTAATTATATAAATCGATTATTTTTCTAAAATTATTGAAGAATCTTTTAATCCCATAAGATTTATTGAAAAATAGACGCATTTAAAACATATAAAATCAATATACACAAATGCCACGATTTTTAAAAACCTCTAATTATCGGTGTATAAAGGTAAAAATTATATATAATGTGTTTTTCATTAATATCTTTAAAAAAAATTAAAAATTAGATATGCTGTTGCTTCTTAACTTTGATTGTAGAATTAAAAAATTTATCATCATTATATCAAATAATTATTCTATATTTGTATGTGTGAGAGTACATATTATCGGTTGGATTGTCTAAGAAAAGACAACCTAATTTAAGATTAAAGAAAGATACAACTAAAAATGTTTAAAAAATTAATATTTTCGATTGAGCGCAACTTAAAATGTTAATTTTTTAACATTTTCAGTTAGCAGCCGAAAATGTTACATTCTTCATAACATTTTCGGGTTAACTAGAAATGTTAAAAAATTAATATTTTAGGTTGCGCTCAACCAAAAATGTTAAGATTTTTTTTAACATTTTAGGTTGTATATTTCCTTAACCTTAAATTAGGTCGTATTACAACAGAAATACTCTATATTATCATGTTAATAATGTTTGTATAGCTTTTTTCACTATATCATTATTACTCATATATATGAACTTGGAATGCGAACTTAATAAATTGTATTAGAAATTTACGGTATAAAATTAAATAATTAATAAATAATATCTAAAATATAAAAAAGTTTAAAAAATTTAGAGTGCGATCGCATGGTCAACAACCCCTCAATCCATCCTTGTATGCAACTGTTCATGACATAATATATATATATATATGTGCATGCATGCATGTATGATCAAATGAATTATCAGTGACTTGAAATTCTAAAATACCTTATCTTCCTTGAGCTTAAAGTTGTGTCTTACATTCCTTCATATCCCTAAAAACATTTTTTTACTTCAGATTTTTCAATTTTTCCACCAGGTTTTCAAACATATTGTGAATAGGGAGTGGAGCGAAGAGGATGAAGGAGAGACATTAAAGATGACAGAAAAGAATAACATGTTCATTAAGAAACGAATTTCGGATCCCGATTGGCGTTTCCTTTTATTGGTAATCCTTCCTTTTTTCGATTCTTCTGTTTAGTGCTTTATCATCTACAGCATTCGTCGATTTTTTTTACCGATCCGATCATTTACCTTCACCGCAAGCAACGTTACCGATTTTACCGGTTCATCTCCAGTCGGGTGCTCCGATGGAGATCACTCGGCCAACGTCACCAATAAGTGTGCTTAGTGGGTGGAGCGAAGAGGTTCGAACTCACTGGACCCTCGATCGTCGAGAGGGTTCTTAAAGAGTATCCTAATGCAGACCTTTTTTTGCACTGTCCCATGGATAAAAATGCCTTCAAGTTATCGCTCCTGGAATCCGCGCCGAGGCTCGCGTCGGTTCGAATATTTGACCAGAGATTAGTGCCGCAGACGGAGGAACAAGTTCGAGTCCTGACGGCTGACAACTCCCCTAATGGCATCCAGGTAGGAACTGTCAACGTTTTTTTGACTTGGTTGCATATAAAATCTGAGTATTTGACTTGAATTAGGTTTAGTAAAACATTCTGATTTGATAAATTGGATTAAACATCAAATTTAACTTAGAATTGGATTTCATGAAACATTTTGAATTGGTAAATTGTTCTCCCCCCCCCCAGCTGAAAAGTTACGCGCATCCAACGTTTTTACTTTTCCCAACTTTATTCCTCTCAAGTCTCAACTTATATTAAATTTACACGTTTTACAATGGGCCAGCCTTTTATCTTTATTATTTATATTTTTGTTCTTTTAATTTTATATAATAATATATATTAATTTAGATTAAATATAAATAAATTACTTCCTGGGTGGGAAGGATTATCGGGGTCGAAATCAGTAATTTATTAAGATAGGGATTAAAGTATTTTTTATTTTTCATATATATAATTTATTTAGTTTGAAAAAATATTTTTCATATTAATTAATAATTAAAAAAGTAGCGGAGGTCAAGGCTTCTCTTGACCCTGACGAAGATCCGTCAGTCAAGACTATGACCTTCAGTTTTTTATATAATAATATCTTTATTAGTTAAATAAAAATTTTGTCTCTCTCAATTTTTAAATTTAAATATTTAATAAATCTTTATCTTTTTAATATTTAATCCCGACTTTCTCTATATACATATCCATTACGAAGTTAATCTTCTAATCCGATTTTCTCTTTTTGTAATGTTGGGAGACGTCATTATTTAGACGAAAGTTATGGATTTTCAATATTAAAATGAAAAGTTTAAAGTCAAAATTTTTCAAAAATGAATCAAAATGTCGATATTTTTTATCCCAAATAAAATATTAAAATTAAAATACTTTAATAATATAATAATAATTTAATCAAATATTAGCAACATTATTATGTAAATTGATTATTACGTTACCTTTTAAGTATATAGACTAACCATGTATTGAGTACTTGTATATTTAGAATTATTTAATCGAATACTAGGACTGAAGGAGATCTGTAGAGCGGGGTTGAAGATGAAACAATAATGATTGTTTAAAGCTTAATAATTAGTTTAGGGGTATATTTCCGTAATAGTAAACATTTTTGAAGTTTGAAAAGACGAGTTAGAGTTGGAGTTAGAGTGGGTTTTTAGAGTTACAGCAAAAACCGTTATTTAATGCATGAGTTATAGTATTAAATTACATGGATAACTTTTATTGGATAGTTTTTATTAATTGGAACTAAGGAGGGTTCTCTTGTACGGAATAAATTGATTAAAAACATGACAATCCTTTCACCAATATACATATTAATGTTCATGCCATAATCAATCATTCATGTTCTTGATCTTACTACTAATCTCATTATTAAACAGGCTTAGCATATATCCTAACACTTTCTATTATAACAAAAAGCCTGAAAGTACACTGGAAAACAGACCATTTTACTGGATATAAGATTGCCCGGTGATATCAATGTCTCGATCACCGGATGACGGTGGAGCTTTGTGTTTGGGCTCCTTCCTGCCCTCATCCGGTCCATCAGCACCTTGGGTCTCGCTGGCCGGCGGCTTTTCCGGTTTCTTCGCCTGTCCCTGCTCGGTTCCGTACATTCCGCCACCGTAAGCATCGTGTGTCACTGGATACATGGGTGAAATATTAGGAGGCTGATGATGACTCTGCTTAGTCGCCGCCGTCGGCTGTTTTCCTTTTCCTTCCTCCGGTGCACTTTTCTTCTCCATCATTAATCAAACAACAATTTGACAATTTCAACCGAGTTTGAGACGATGTGATCCTCATCCACTTCCCTTGCATTCATATTTTATTGCATCTCTCTGGTCCATCTTGTTTTTTGGCCTGCGTCTCGAAGACCGAGCGGGCACGTGTTATTTTGTAAACTGCGTGGCGTTTGGAGGAGGCAACCACTTCATCCATTTGCATACATTGCAAATTACAAGGCTAGCCATAAGTTTTATGATGTTTTGGGCCATAATTGAAATTTTGTTTCTGAGGCACATATATCGCCCATTGCCATCCTTGAGAAAATGGGTCAGTCTAATAGTCCGTGGGTTTCTTTGGTTGGGACTTTGTACTCCAGGGATGTTTCATTTTAAAACCAACTGTTACAAAAAGAAAAGCTGTCAAGACCTAGACAATTTTTCTAGCTTAATATTTAATTAAATATTTTTTAATTTTTTATTTTTTATATATATATTTTGGAAGTATTTTAGTCTTAATATTTCAATTTTTGTCAAAAAAAATATTTTTAGTAGAAATCATTAATTGACTAATAATTAATACGAGAAACTTGCATAACATAACAATGTGAGATGAAATACTAATATGATAATATATCACATCAATATTATTTATAAAAAATAATTTAACGTAATTATTTTTATTAAATTGTTATCCTTAACTTATGAGAGGCTAATGCACTTAAATAGATTTAAACTAAAAAAAACTATGAGAATAATGTATAGTAACAATGTGACGTAAAGCGACAAACATCACCAAATTCTGAATAGCTTTCATGTGAATGATAATGCCCATATTAGTTGTGAGGTGGATTCTTACTCCTAAATCCCGCATGTTGGGAAGAATATTTAAAACGTGACGAGTTTTGTTCGTTAGCTTTTGGTGAAGATGCCTTCTTATCATCTCCATCGCAGCATGCACGCGGTCTGAGTCAATGGCAATATTTCTTAGATGAGAGTAAATGATCAAGCACTCGTTGGTCCCTCCTACAAATGAATTACCTCAAAAAACATCCATTTGTATGTTGGCACATACAAGGAATCGTCCATTAAAATTTTTAAACTTTTTTTTTATTTTAGATTTTTTATGTGTATTTTCTATTAATAATTTATTTTCACCCATAAAATTTTATAAATTCGTTCGTCTTCAAAATTTTATAAATTGCCTCCTAGAATAAAGTTATGCATCCGTTCATAGACATACATATCCGATTAAAAAATTTCATGATTTATATCATAAAAAAGATATAAAAATATAAATGGGTGTGTGTATTTTTGTACGTGTGTGTATACAAATAAGATGTACAATTCGCTTAAATGTTTAAAGTGTTGTATCTCCTTCGAATCTTCTCTGCAAATTGCAATTTTGTTATACTTTTTCTTTGATCAAAGTATTTGGAGTTTCTAGAAGTCTTCAGAGTTTCACATCTTCTGGTTGATTGTAATCTTCTGACACAACTATAGACAAGTTAAACCTCCTCCGTAAGTCGTGTCTCCATTATCACTCCTCTATGGATCGAAGCCTCTAGAGTTCTTAGAAGCTTATGAAGTTTCATATCCTTTAATTGGCTACAATCTTTTGACGTGACCATTTGTGGGTTTACATGATCTGTCAAAGCCAGATCTACCGTCTCAGAGCTAGATCTATTGAGTCTATCAACCTACAAATAGAGACATAATAACAATAAACTTGACACTACGAGTAAGTATACAAGACACAATGCAAGAGTAAAAAGAAAAAAACTTCTCTCTTTCAAGTTTTTTCTCTCTCAACTATTATTCATCGTCGTCTTGAGTTCGTATGTTTTTTATTTTACCTCCATTAAATAACTGGTTACGATTTTTTACTTAAACAAAAAAGTTTAACAGTAAAAAAAACCACTACAAACACATCTTTTCTCATTAACAAAATGTTATGAATTTAAAGTATGATGTGTAGTTGAGCAGTTGCAGGCAAGTTGTTCATAGCATTATCTGTCGTGTCCGGTTGCCATGAATGCATCCATGGAATTCCACTGCAAGTAGCCAGTTATTTTGAATCTCTGATAAACAAAATTGGTTCTATATTTCCAGTTGACCAGAAACGAATATCTACAAATGGGTCAACCACTCCCGTAGAACAACAGGCGTAATGCTATCGGCGGATGTCTCCTACTGCTGCAGTCTTGGGCATGGTATCGATTGCCATTTTTATGTCTCGTTGTGAAGAACCCATTCATATTTCCACTACTTCTGAGGTAATTATAAAACTGGTTTTGTATATTAATAATTTTATACAACGTATAATAATTTTTTTTCCTTGAATAGGTGGTCTACTAATATGAAAATTCATCAGGAGCTACCTGATGATTTAGAAAAATATTAGGGTGCTAATCGATCAGAAGGCGGGCACACATGTATGAATTTTAATGTTTAAAAATCGATTTTAGATTATAGTTATATAATTAGATTATTATTTTAATAAAAAATTATATATTATTTGTTTTAGTTTGAATGGGTGTCATATTCTACTGATGATGTGAGGGCGGTGATCCCACCTGAGTTGAGAGGTCTATCAGATGTTTGGATGGTGATGGTCCCTCTGATCTGTTATGCGACCGTCGAGTGGCACTCCATTGATCGCGTGCTCCGGCAGTTTGGTTGTTTTCAACCAATTCTGGAAGCACATCGTAATATGGATGAGTTGCATAACTTAGGTAGACGTGGCAAGACAGATACATATTGGCTGGTGAGGCATCATGAGTGGGTCGTGTTGTGGGAGGATGGACATCGGCGCCTTCCCCGTAGAGAGCCCATTTTTACTGACTTCTTGATGTATGCTGACGGTTATTATGAGTGGTTCAACAGTAACAGGAAACCGTTTCTGCTTCCCGAGGATGCACGAGGGCAGACCTTTCTGCGACGTCGACAGAGACGTGATCTTACACAGCACCATCGTCTCTCGACTCGTGGACGGAGAGCAGGTGCTCTCGGTTCATCCTCAACTGTACCAGCAGGACCTTCACAGCAGCCACCGCAGCCATTTATGATGTCGCAGCCATATATGATGCCGCCATCACCTTTCCATTACCAGATGCCGCCGCCGCCGTCTTCACCTGGTTTTATGACCCCGCCGCCGCCACCATCACAGATGACCCCTCCTGGAGGCTATTATGGGTATATATTTGTAGATCCAACTTGGGGTTCATATGTTGGATATTTGGTGGGTTCAGCCTCATCACCCATGGCCGCAGCACATACACCTCCTGTATAGTTTTCACAATCAGCGATGTCTGGGTTTTCCCAGTTTTCGCAGGCCGGTGGGATAGTCAGTCATACACCTCCAAGGTCCTTATTCTATGGAGGTGCTTCATTGTCATCAGCTCCTCATCAACCTAATGTATCTGCTCAGGACGACGACGACGACGATGGTGATGATAATGACAGCGAGGAGTCGGAACCAGTGATACGAAGAAATCCTCCTCGAGATCGACAGCCACCGCCCTGCGGAACACATTCACGTCGTAGACATCGATAGATTTTTTTTATTATATTTGTATTTACTCTATTCTGTTAAATTGTAATTTTTTATTATTTCTCATTTAATACTTACTTTATTTTATTAAATTTGTTGGACTTTTTTTTAATGTATTTCAGTTAATTTTGTTTATTACCATTTAATCTCAGTTATTGTAATTTGGTTATCATTTAATACTTATTGTAAGTTTGTTGTATTTAAAATTATATTCAAATATCAATTTGGTTATCATTAACTTGCAGTAAAGGCAAATTAAAGTACAAGAATTATTATTTGATAAACAAATACATCATTTCCTCATCAATTGTTCCTTGATGACAACAGAAGTGGACATGTTTTTCTCGTGTGTCCTGGGTTTCTACAATTCCCACATCTTCTATCTTGTCTAGATCTTTCTCGAATATCCATATCGCAATGAATTCGATTGGATTTTGGACGACCACGCTCCCTCAATAAACTCGGATTTGATACAATCGGAAGCCAATCTTGAACCTCATCAGGGTCTTTGTCATTACCTATGGGGGGAAACTCAAATTCATATACCTTAAAAACTTCAGATAGTAGGTATACGGGATCCACAAAATGGTTATAGTATTGACGTGTGTGCGAGCAAACAACTATCACATGAGAGCATCGATACTTCAGAACTTGAAAAAACCCGCAGTCGCACGTTCTGTCCCTTAGATTTACTCTTAACGACACAGCTTCAATCCCTTAAAGAGGTCGCAGCAACTCTGTGACACGAAACATTTGATGCCTTCTAGAGAAGCTTGTTACAGACATTCCATTTGATGCAACAATTTTTTTATATGTAGATCTGCAACTAATCTAGGGTGATAGACATGACCGCCTTGCATCCAGGTTTGAGCTTATCCCCCGAGCTTCGCAAAAAACGCCCCCAAACAAAAATATATAGTTTTTACCAAAGCCGCTTCAAGTAAGTGACGTGCACCCTTTAAGGTTGAATTGATTGCCTCAGCCAAGTTGGACGTCATGTTTCCATATCGATATCCACCATCATATGCGTTCGTCCATATTTCTTTATCGATGAGGCTGATGTAATCGTATCCTTCCTCGTTCTTCGCCCGCAAATCTTGAAGCATTGATTCAAAAGTTCGAGGAAGTAGTTCGTAACCTGATCAAAAAATGTATAACTTACTAACTTGCTTTCTTTGCAAAATTAAAATTATAAAAAAAATGTATAACTTACTAACTTGCTTTCACTTACCCATGCGCACAATTAATTGACGCTCATCATTCTTCTTGTACCTTCCATGATAGTTCGTAGCAATGTGTCGGAGACAATACCTATGTTGGACAAAGGGTGGTTGCCACATTGGACCCAAAGACTCCATTGCTGCTTTGATCCCAGCTCCACGATCTGAAATGACATAGATGTTTTCCCTCGTGATAACATGTGCACGTAAATTTTGGAGGAAAAAAGCCCAAGAATCTGTATCTTCTCCTTCGACAAGAGCAAAAGCAACTGGAAGAATGTTGTGATTGCCATCTTGGACAACTGCCAATAGTAAAATTTGCTTGTATTTTCCATACAAGAAAGTCCCGTCGATCTGGACCACAGGCTTGCAGTATTTGACAACATTAATGCACTGTGGGTAACTCCAAAAAACCCGGTAGAATTGGCTTCGATCGCGAAGAACTCGATCATTATGGTATGCATAGGAGGTTTTGAAGTCCACAATTATCACAGGATTCAACGTCCGCACCAGCCTAAACCAACCTGGAAGTTCGTTGTAAGATGCATCTCATTCACCATGAAGTTTGACAATGGCATTTTGTTTTGCCAACCAAGCTTTTTTATAGGAGACAGTGTACCCATATTGCGATTGTATAGCTGAAATCAACACTACAACAGCTATATGAGAGCTTGCTTTTACCATGGGCATGATGTCTTGGCATATCATTTCAGAGTCCAAGTTGGGATGATCTTGGTTGACCTCTCCAGCACAACATGTGTGAGGACCGTTGTATATTGTTAGTTCACATATGTTGTTTTTCCTCTTTATTTTCGATACGCGAACCATCCAATTGCATCCGTTTTCGCGTCGGGCAAAATAGCATACATATTTTTCGGTCGTCGATCGGTTGACTCTGGACTGAACAGAATTACGGATATTGTAATTTTTTATAGCCATCATCGCTTCTTCTTTGCTTGAAAACTCCATGCCTAAAGATAACTCACCATTATTTATTGATGAGTAATATCCATAGTCACCGAGATGAGGCATATCCGCAAATTCTGGCCCGTACATTGCACCATAATCAGCTTCATACATGTGTGCAGGAGGGTCAGTTTATGTCACATTTCCTGGAACTTCATCTACATCATCATCATCGGAGTTGAATTGCGGTGATTCTGGGTGAATGAATAATCCAGTCTCAGCATCATCCGCACCAGGATCACGAAGCGGTTCTTCTGGTGGAGATGATGGTTCCTCCATGCTCTCCATATTTAGGTCGAAGAACCTACTACTTGTATGTCTTCCCCTTGAACTATAAGGCATATCGACATTAAGATCGAAAAAGCTCGCAGTCGAATGCCTCCCCTGGAGCTTGAAGCCATCATGTCAAATGGAAACTGCACAGATTGTTGCGTCGATGACATCTCCATATTAAGGTTAAAGAAATTTGCAGATGAATGTCTTCCCCTTGAACTGGACGCGGTGTTGCCATACGAATTGTTCGTGGACCCACATCGGTACATATCATAAGGAGTTGCAGATGAATGTCTCCCCATTATGGCATTAAAATCATTACAAATTACTGTAGTCGGGCTGTCAACTTGATCAACTTGTTCAGCCAGCCCATAGTGGGAGCTTAATGATTAACCCCGAACAACACACACTTGAACAAAATGTACATACATCTCAATAGCGACGTCTGAATAATTACTTTGAGCTTCAACCATCATTGTTCGAAAGTTCGAACGATGTATAAGTTAATGGCAACAATAATGTTGGAAATCTGTACTGCAACGATGACATTCTTCTACTACTTCCAACATGAATCTTCCTCGAAATCTTCGTTATCAGCTCCTCAAGAGTTATGTTTCTCTTGAATGATATTTTAACACGCTCATTTGATACGAAAACAACGCCGGTTTCATATTCTCGAATTTCACCATCATAATAAACAATAGCTGAAAGTCGCGTCATTCTTTGAGTTTAAAAGTGCGGCAATAGTATATCTGCAAAAAAATAACTGAAACAAACCTGATTAAATAAATTATATATGAACGAAAATATAACACAATAATTTTTTTACACATCAACGTAAATAATTTAAATAATATAATATTATATTATTACTTGTACCGCAAAATTATTTCGACGTATGCTCCCGTTTTTCAATTTTACAAATATAAAAATTAATTGAAAATAATTAGTATAATAATTTTTCAAATAATGATAATAAACAATAAGTATAATTAAAAAATTATAACAAAATTACCTTATAACGAAAAATCGCACGAACTTATGAGAAGATTGCCTGAATTATTACTCGTTGACGAAATTGTTGTATTAATTTATAAGTTGAGAGGAGAGATGCCATGAGATGTGAGAAACTTAACAGAAGAAGAAGGGTATTTATAACCATTTAATGCGTGGTACCTGCACCGCGCTATATGTAATTATTCAGAAAAGATATAGTGCGGACCAGGGACCACGTTAAATATAATTCTGGTACGGCGTATAGTGCTGCCCCTGATCCGCACTATACCTCTACGTGGCGTATAGCGCGGATCAGGGAGCGTGCTATACACACGTGTAACCCATGTCAGCGTATAGAGCGGTACATGGGGAGCGCTATACCCCATGTGGCGCCAAATCAACATATAACGCGGGACAGAGGGTGCGCTTTACTGCTACGTGTCTTAAATCAGAAAATATAATCTGACCGGTGTTAGATCGTTTTTTTTTTTTTTTTGGAAAAAACACCTCCGGCATCAGGTACTGTACATAATATTTGAGAAAATTAACTTGACAACCAATATTTCAAGTTTTTTTTCCCAATTCATTAATAGGCTGATTTTGCCCTTATTGACTGAGCTGCCAGAGTGTCAACCCAGGTGGTGTCTCTTCTTCAGAGGAAATGGAACCCATAAGCGCGTCTGTTTACAAACCCTAAACCCATGTCTGATTACTTTAGTTTAATGGCTGCAACACCTAATATTTATTCGCGGATCCAGTCCCCCTCTAATCCACCCCCTCGTGCGCCTTGTTTCTCCTTCCTTTATATACCTCACATTTCCTTCTCAAACCACACAACTCTAAAGCAAAGACAGCCAGTTTTCAAAACTATTCAATCAGAAAATATGGTTGGCGTTTTCCGGCGTTCACTTTCTTTCCCTAACAAAGCCCTAAACCGTCCACTAAGCCGCCGATTTCTCACCACTTTAGATCCATCTCTCTTCCGTGTAGATCACACCCCTTGATTTCCCAACTCAGAGATGAAATCACTGAGCTCAAAGCATGGTCTTGGAATCCGGAGAATCGGACCTCGGCTTGGCTTTGTGATGGTTTGGTTCGTTTAAAGGACGTGCATGAATCTCTGCATGATCTTCTTCAGCTCCCTCAAACGAGTGAACTGTTGAGCCATAAGCGTGAATGGGTCGAGAAGCTCCTCGAAGATTTCTTGCGTTTCGTCGACGTTTACGGGATCTTCCAATCGTCGTTGTTGGCACTCAAAGAAGAACAACTCGCCGCGAGGATGGCTATGAGGAGGAAAGACGATTCTAAGATCGCCGTGTATTTGAAAAGTCGCAAGAAGATGGCTAAAGAGATCGCTAAACTCGTGTCGTCAATTCGATCTGTCTGGCCGTACTCGTTTTCCGGGCCGGCTTTGGTTTCTATCGCAGACACCGAGCTGGCCGGTGTCATCAGCGACGTCGTTGAAATCACTGTTTTAATTTCAGTGGCTATTTTCAACGGGATTTCGACGTCGTTTTGCTGAGAAAATCGTCGTGGATGGGGCTGACGTTGAAGAAGAATGCCACGAAAGTTAGGGTCGAGGAAAGTATCAAAGAATTCCAACAAATCGGTGAAGCCGACATGTGGGGTTTGGTAGAAAAGGAAGACGATGAATTGAGGATGGTTTTGAACAGAATGCAAGAACTGGAACGGTGTTTATCCGATGTTGAAAATGGCAGTGAAAAAGCTTTCAGGAGTTTGATAAAAACTAGGGTTTCACTGCTCAATACTCTCACCAAATAGAAGGAAGAAAGGGATAAAGTAAACAAAATACAAAATAGAGATGCAATTTACTTCTATGTTTTTCTCCGGTAGAAAGTAACTAAATTTGTGAAAATTTGTTGTCCAAAAGTGCTTGCATAGAGATTTTTCTTATGGTGTACAGTCAGTAATTTATTTATTTATTTTTGTAAATTTTGGTCTTCCAATAAAGCTCTTTATCTTTTTTCAATCTTACTATTCATTTGGTATAATATTGTTTTGGCAACTATTAATCCAAAAAATACAAATAAATTAAAAAATGTTAAATTAGGGGAAATGGATGTTAGGAGAGAAAATCAGATATTTCAAGATAATATTGAATTATTTAAGAAAATAGAGATGTTTTGTAGTAATTGAAATAAAGTCGTTAGTGGTTGTTGAATAATTTTATATCATTTTTTATATTTTGACATAAAATTATAAAAAAAAATGAAGAACTAAAATATGAATTTTTCATAAATCAACATCTAGTGAATTTTGGACAACTTTCTTAAATTTATTATTCTATTTTGTTATAATCATTTTGATAAAATTTCACTTTTAATATTCTTTCATCCTAATCTTAAATATAAAAAAGAAAAAAATCATAAAATTACTTTTAATTATCGACAATTTTATCCATACTATAAAAACATCCCTATTTCCTTAATTAATCTAATATTATCACTAAATCTTTAATTTTTCTTTCCAAATATCTATTTCTGTCCAGTGAATCTGTAGAAGTTATTTTCGGTTGCACGTGGCCGGCAGTGAGACATTGTAACGTGGTAGCTCCTTCTCTTCGCTTCTTAATTATTGTCAACCAGGAGAGATATACTTGGGAGTAAGCCATGCACGTTTAATACGTCAAATAAAAATATAATTTAACTATATTAAATGCAATAATATACGATTCAATTCATTTTAAAATTAAATTATACATATAATAATTTAAAAAAAATGTATTTGAAACACATTTTTAGCAAAACCTATAATTGAAAATAATCATTCATTCATGATCAGTTTTGCCTCAAGATAATGCTGCAAATTATTGGAGGTTGCTTCAACTTGCCTTAGAATACAGATTTAGGATTCTCCACCGCCACCGCCACCGCCATTGACAGCAGATTTGAGCTCACAATGCGTTTTGGGCACCCTGCAAAAGCAAATTATTTGAGAGATAGCCATAGACGTCATTAATTTGTGGTCCCTTAGTTGCTCTCAATTATGTTGAAATCATCTCATTGTCTACTGGGAAGATGTGAATTAATCCCGTTCGTGATATTAAATATAGAGTTAACTGGATCACATGTCCTTTACTAATGACATTATTATAAATTGGTTCTAAAGCTTTTAAATATTTTAATTTTTACCCATAAATTATGACTATCATTCTAGATTAGTCCTCAAAATTTTAAACATTTCAGTTTCATCCCTCAACTATGATCTTCCTTCTAAATATGTCTCCAAACTTTTTGAACATTTAAATTTCATCCAAAATTATATGTATATACTAATCACATCCATTGTTAATAAAATCGTTAGGCTAAATTATATTAATATATGCTTGAAAAAAAAAAATTTGGGTCAATCTATGGTTGAAACTAATTACATATTTGGATGAATTGGGGATGAAATTGGAAGATTAAAAAAGTTTGGGGACCAATTTAGATTGAGAGTCATAGTTTTGGATGGAATTAGAATGTTCAAAAGTTGTGCACTAATGGAAAATGAGTCATAATTTTAGGATGAAATTAGAATATTTGAAAGTTTAAGGATCAATTTGAAAGGAGGGTCATAGTTTGGGGACATATGATGCAATTAACTCTTATAAATAAGGAGCTTTGAATTCATGTAATAATTAGGGTTTAATTTGGAAGTTTGGAGCTGGAATCTTTGTTTGTCTTTTTTATTACAAGCTTAAAAAATAACAGAGTTGAACGTTTTCAGCTAATCAAAATTCGATAAGGGTTCGTTGCAGAGCTGAAAAAAGAAAGGTGTTAAGATGTAGCGGTTATGTTGCTTTAAAGAAATATATTGCACGGTGAATATATTTGGGTACAAGACTATAAGCGAGTGAAGCAAACAACACTATAGCGCAGAGTACGAAGAAATATTAACGTAGAGTAGGAAAATACACTGCAGTACAAGAGTTTTTATAGCATGTCAATTATATTTACGGAATTTATATTACACTTGTCGAGTTTTTATAATGTGTACATATATGAGATTAACATTTTAATTCATGTTTCCATAACAAACTCGTACATAATGTTGCGAAGACGACTATCGGATAGAGCAAAATCGCAACTGATAATTTGAGAAAATAAAATGAAGATAAAGAAGACACAAATTTACGTAGAAAACCCTAAATAATATAGTAAAAACCACGGGCAACGGTAGAAGAATTTCACTATGAGAAAATAAGAATTACAACCTCTCTCGATCTACCAAGGAGAAAACAATGATAATTCTCTCTTGATAAAAAGGAGAAAACAACTCTCAAGAAACTTTATAAATTTTCTCTAGTATTGAAGAAAGCTAGAATGCTTTGGGATGGTTTTGAAGCTAAATGAGCTAAGGTATTTATTGAAGCTTTAAGGATTAATTTATAAATACCTAAATTATAATGACTAAAATTGAGATTATCCCATTAGTAAATTTCAACAAAATTTGTTGTCTTTCGATGCATTTAATGCTTTTTGACTAGATTTCATTTTCAACACGCACTTTATGTGCATGTGCTCAACACATAACTCTTATGTAACTCATATAGAGGCTCAAATAAATGTCTACATAATACAATTTCACGTAAGAATATTTTTTTCTGTATTTTCTATTTATTAATGTATAAGATACATGGCCGGAAGCACCAAGTCCTACAAGATAGTAAGTGCATAACCATTATCTTAGAAAATTTATTAAATTTAGTTTGATGGGTTAAAAGGAAGTGAAAAAACAAAAAAGTTGCTTAACATTTTTTTAAAGAATATTAAAATTTTAAATCCTATTTTTAAAATTTTGAATCCACTGCTATCATGTATAATGTACAAATTAAACATGCTTCACATGTCAATTGATTATAATAAAGATGTTTAACTTAAAAGTGGGTTTTTGATTTTCAGTTACACAATCCTGATGGTTTTTGATAATGCAGGTTCAACGAAGATATTTCATATCTTCAAATTACCGGAGACAGAGTCGTTACTGTAGAAAAAGAAGGTTAGTTCAATGGAGAATGATGAAACTGTTAGTTCACAGAATCTATCTTCAGTTCTGAGGAAACTGCGAAGTCAAGGTATGGGTCAATTGCTTTTGAAATTCACTTTGCCCTTTTGTTCAAGTTGAATGATTATTGGTAAATACGAGGATCAAAGTTGAATGGTTGGCTCAAAGATGTCTCGTATATGAACCCGACGAAACAGCAGACGGTGCGTCATCTTTATCTCCCGGTAGAGGTGGAGCACCCCTTGTGTTTGTGATCCTTAACAGGCGGTTGGAAGCCATGGATAAAGATAAAATCTCGGAGAAGGAATTGGATAAAGCGAAGATGGACTTGTAATGAGCGTAAACCAAGTGGTGGAACAGCATAATGCAGATCCGATAAGGACATGGAAGGGAAAGGAAATGAAAGATGTTGGAAAAGAGGGGCAAAGGATGCAGAAGTTAATGCAAGCCGAGTGAAGAAGACTATGAGGTTGGCAAGGGAAGACAGCAGCAATGTCCTACCATATACACCGCACATCGCAGTGATACAAGGTATGCAAATAGTTACCCATATGGTCTAAACCAGATTTTCATGGCAATGGAGAAGCTTGCTATCGATTGCAGGCAAGCTTATAAAGAGCCTAATAATTGCAGAACACGCTGAAGTAATTTCCATTGTATGTGGTACAAGAGCTGAGTTTTTTAGTTTGGTTGGTACCACCGTACATACAAGGAGGAGTCAAGTCGAACATACTTAAGTGTACAATATTTTCGGATTTTGATTTACGGTGAGGAGAGGTATGCAAAGTTTAAGAATTGTACAAAATTTTTCAACATTTGATTGTCACAGTCGTACAAGGACTCAATCGTATATAATATACGATCTAAGAAACATACAGCTCAGCTTTTCCATCAATGAAGAGGCTCATGAACTCTTCTCCATCAACAGTTTCTTTCTCTATCAGAAGTTGTGCAAGCTTGTGTAAAATGTCAATGTGGGTTGTGATTATCTCCTTTGCCCTACTGTATGCAGTCTCTGCTAGATCCCTTACCTCTGCATCCACCACATCGGCGGTTGCCATGGAGTAGTCTTTTTGAGAGGACATCTAAGAATCGAATCGAATTTACGAGTCAGATTACATAGTCCGCAGGATATATAGATACAACATTTGTAATAATAAATTGAAGAACATCACCTGTTGACCTAAGAAAGGATTGCCACCACCTCCACCAATCGCAACCTGTCCAATCTTTTTGCTGAATCCAAATCTTTCAACCATCTGCCTTGCTACTCGTGAGACTTGCATAAAGTCGTTCGAAGCTCCTGTTGTCACATTTTCCTCACCGAAAATTACTTCTTCGGCAATCCTGCACAAGTTATAGAGAAAAGCTCCTAGAATAAAGTTACAAGACAAATTGAATGGAAAGATGCAAGCGCCACTGTACGCTGTTCGAATCACGTCTATTAAATAGGATCTAGATATATTTATGAATCTTATCTAACCATCCTATCTCATCCGACACTAAAAAGGGCTC